CTCATGCAAAGATCAATTTTGTACTCAAAGATTCAAGTTGTGACACACTATTACCAAAGATTCTCATGCTCGCAATACTTGCTACTTGTGCAAGTTCAAGCTTAACAAAAACTATCTAAATTCCCTCACATAAAGAATGATTCCATATTCACACATAGTGGTTAATCAATTCAAGATCAGGAATCAGATGCAACGCTCACACTCAAAAAGAGGAACACAATGCATGTTTTCACCCATTGGTTTGCCCTTATTTTCCAATCGACTTTCGATTTGGCTTATTCAAGATCAAAAGGGTCTTTTCAAGGCTTGAAATGGGGTTGAGTGCAAAGGTATGGTCATTTAGGCTCAGTGACTTATTCATCCTCGTGAGATGTGGTGTACTCAAAACATCCTTTTCATTTCCCTTATCCCTTTTTCTTTTAGTGCTTCTAAGTCATCCTTTTATTCACTCTCTATGTATTGCTTGGAAACTCAATTCCTTTTGCACTTTTTATTCCACAACTTTTTTTAAGGGTTTCCATTTTGTCTTGCAATACCATGGGTTAAGGGATACTTTTCTTGCACTTCTTGACTTCTCCTTTTAACTTTTTACCACACCCCCAACTTAAGCTCTTATCCTAAGTTGGATATTCACTAAACCACAAATCAAGAGGCTTATAAGTAATGGGTCAAGGAAGGTTTAGGGTTCATCAAGGTTCTTCCAAAGAAAGGTAAGGCTCAAAGGGTGTTCAAAAGAGTTTCACACGCTCACAGGTAGGCCACAAAAGAGCTATATGTCAAATTTGGCTCACACTCTTTAAAGTCGCCTAAGATCATTTCAAGAGCACACCTTTCTAAATCAATCAGACTAACGAGGCAAATTCTGGGTTTATTCATGCAAGGTTCAAAGTAAGCTAATCACACAACGCATCGACACTTAAGTCAAACAAGACTACACATTTTCGCTAGTGTGCAATGATCATTACAAGAGAATCAATTTGATAAATGGCTAATCATAACGAGATGCAAAGAGTTCACATATTATCTATGCAACTTCATTTGGTCTCGTCATAGCCGTGCATTCATTTTTGTTCGATTGATAGCACTATTTAAGTCATCAGTATTGATCAGAACTGAGACTTAAATTTTACAAAAGAACAGCCACTTTAAACACATGAGAGGTGGCAAAAATTTTCGAAAAATGAAATTTTTTTGGAATGGTTAAAATCGTTTTGAAATTTAAAATAAAAGGGAGCCATGAGCTCAAACATCCACAAAAAGAAGTATTTAATATAATTAAAAACAGAACAACCCAAACATATGCAAAACACGAACACAAATAGTGCACAAAAGGTGAGCCTCACCCCACCACAAAAAAAAGCATTTTGTCGTCAAATGCAATTAACACAGAATCCGAAAGGCAAAATAAAGAAAGAGAGAGAGAGAGGTAAAGAAGAATCATGTTTACGCAGTCTTTCCATCTATTTGGGCATCAATGCTGACAAAATAATTATGGGTATTAAGGAACTAACCTTTTGTACTGATTGAAATACTACCGAGAAGCTAGGCCGCAATTGCAATCCAAATCCGCGCACAAACCAATGAATCAAAATACTCCAGAAGTGCAAGAAATATAAAACTATAGTGCAGGTGTGGGTTTGGAACAAATAAAAATATGAGGGAAGGTGAATGAAGTTAAAACTTTTAAACCTTTGGCTTGTAAAAACTGTCTACTCGGCGACGTTAGTTAAACTCACCAACTCACTCGGCAGAACGCCGACTGTTTGGCTTTTCCACCAAAGTTTACAGAACCTCTGGTTTACGGGTGTCCAAACGGTGGTTTCCATCGAGATCGCCGACTTGGTCGGCAATAGTCGTCGAGTTTTACAGAATCAAATATTGATGATGTCTAGAGTCAAATGGTGGATAAGGTCGGATTTGGTAACTCGCCAAATGGATTCATCACTTGCTTTTCTACACTTTTTGTTCAGTCTTCATAGTTTCATCTGCACAGTCAACACACCATTATTTTATCAAAGCAAAAGAAAGTAATACATGGTTTTGGGTTGCCTCCCAAACAACGCCTTAGTTAACGTCGTGGCACGACGTAGTAGCGCCTTCAAGCGTCTTCCAAATACACCACTTCAACCAAAGAAATCTCTTGACAATCCCCAAAATATAATTTCAAACGTTGACCGTTCAGTTTAAATGGAGGTCCTTCCTGACCTTCAATTTCTATGGCACCATTGGTGACCACTTGTGTAACTCTAAAAGGTCCAGACCATTTGGATTTGAGATATCCAGGAAAGAGTCAAAGTCAAGAGCTTTATAACAAAACCCAATCTCCTACCTTGAAGTCCTGCTTGAGTATTCGAGCATCATGCCATTTCTTCATCTTCTCCTTGTAAATGGCTGAACTTTCATACGATCTGAGTCTAAATTCATCCAGTTCGTTCAACTGTTCTACCCTCTCCCTTGAAGTTTTTGACCAGTTCAAATTTAAGGCCTTCAATGCCCACAATGTCTTGTGTTCTAGCTCAACGGGAAAATGACAAGCCTTGCCATAAACCAACTGATATGGATACATACCGATAAGTGTCTTATAAGCAGTCTGGTATGCCCATAGTGCATCATCAAGTTTGCTAGACCAGTCAATTCTATTGGTATTAACTGTCTTGGCCAGGATGCTTTTGATTTCTCGATTTGACACTTTGACTTGACACTTATTTGGGAATGATATGGGGTTGCTACCTTGTGTTTCACCCCATATTTGATTAGTGCCATTGAAAACCACTTATTGCAAAAGCGAGACCCCCCATCGCTAATGATCTCCCTAAGAGTGCCAAATCTTGCAAAAATGTAGCGTTTCAGAAATTGGACAACACTTTTTCCTTCGTTGTTTGGAAGGGTGATGGCCTCTACCTATTTGGAGACATAATCTACGGCCACCAAGATATATTTATTTCTGAATGAGCTCACAAATGGGCCCATTAAATCGATCCCCCATACATCGAATAGCTCGATTTCCAAAATAGAAGTGAGAGGCAACTCATGCCTTCTAGACATTTCGCCTTGTTGCTGACATTGAGAGCATGTCTTTGCAAATTCAGGTGCATCTTTGTATAGGGATGGCCAGTAATAACCACTTTGGAGGACTTTAGTGGCAGTGCGAATACCACTGTTGTGACCTCCTGCTGGAGATGCATGGCAAGCATGGAGAATTTTTACCACTTCCTCTTTTGGAACACACCTCCTGATAACATGGTCAGCACATTCTCGAAACAAGGTTCATCCCAAAAGTATCTTTTAACATCAAATAAGAATCTTTTTTGTTAGTGAAAGGTCAACTCAACAGGTATCAATCCACTCACAATGTAGTTTGCAAAGTCTGCATACCACGGTGTAGGTTTGAGAGATATAGCAAATACCTGTTCATCGGGAAAGGAATCATCTATGTCGACCTCACGCTCGGCATCTTCCCTTTCTTCCAACCTCGATAAGTGGTCAGCCACTTGATTTTCGCAGTTTCTTCGATCTTTTACCTCAAAATCAAACTCTTATAGTAGTAGCACCCACCTTATCAATCTTGGTTTTGCATCTTTCTTCGGCATTAAGTAGCGGAGTGCAGCATGATCAGTGTGTACTATTACTTCGGTTCCTAGCAAGTATGCCCGAAACTTTTCAAATGCATAGACCACTGCGAGCAACTCATGTTCAGTGATCATATTATTTCGTTGGGTACTATTCAAAGTTTTGCTCGCATAGTAAATTGGGTGAAATAATTTGTTGCACTTTGGCACCAATGCCATTCCACTAGCATCACACATTACTTCGAAAGATTCGGACCAATTAGGACTGACAATAATCGGGGTAGATACTAATTTTTCCTTCAAACTCTTAAATGCAACCATACAAGCATCATCAAAATGGAACTTCACTTCCTTCCCGAGGAGTTTGCATAGTGGATGTGCAATCTTTGAGAAGTCTTTAATGAACCTTCGGTAGAAACCTGCATGACCCAAGAAGCTCCGAACACCCTTCACTGAAATTGGTGGGGGTAATTTCTCAATGACCTCAATTTTTGCCTTGTCAACCTCCAACCCCTTTTGTGACACCTTGTGCCCGAGAACGATACCTTCATTCACCATAAAGTGACATTTTTCCCAATTGAGAACCAGATTCGTATCCACGCATCTTTGTAGCACCTGTCCTAAGTATGTCAAGCATTCCTCAAACGTGTCCCCTACGACTAAGAAGTCGTCCATGAATACCTCCATAGAATGTTCGACCATATCCGCAAAAATAAACAACATGCAACGCTGGAATGTTACCGGAGCATTACACAGCCCGAATGGCATCCTTTTGATTGCAAAAGTTCCATAAGGGTAGGTAAAAGTGGTTTTCTCTTGGTCTTCTGGCTCAATAGAGATTTGATTGTAACCAGAATACCCATCTAAAAAGCAATATCACCCCCTTTCTGATAACCAGTCAAGCATCTGGTCCATAAAGGGCATTGGGAAATGGTCATTTTCGGTCCATGAGTTAAGCATCCGATAATCCATGTATACTCTCCACCCAGTCACTGGTCTTGTTGGCACAAGTTCTCCTTACGCATTTGGGACTACGATTATACCTCATTTTTTCGGTATACATTGCACCGGACTTACCCACTTACTATCCGCAATAGGGTATATCACTACCGCATCTAGCCACTTGATGATCTCCTTTTTCACCAACTCTTGCATTGGAGGGTTCAATCTCCATTGATGCTCTACATTCGGTTTACATTCACTGTCAAGCCGAATCTTGTGGGTACAGATGCCAGGAGGAATTCCTACTATATCGGCTATTGTCTATCCAATAGCTTTGATATGCTTCTACAATACTTGAATGAGCAATTTCACCTGCCTTTCAAGCAAATCGGCTGCGATAATCACTAGTAAAGTATTATTGGCTTCTAAGAAAGCATATTTTAGATGAGAGGGTAGGGCTTTTAACTCCAGGTTCGGTGGTTCTTCTGTTTATGGATTCGCAGGAGGACTTTCTCTGTTTTTCAGGTCGATATCCAACTTGATTGGATTCCTTGAATACTCTCCTAATCCTGATAAGGCAGCCACCACTTCCTCATATCCTTGAACTTTGGATTCCTCATAATTGGCAAGTACAGAGTCAAGGGGTTCATTCTTGCACATTAAATGGCTAACACTTGCCACTGCTTCATCTATAACATCCTCAGTGGACACCACATGGATGTTACTTGGTTGCTTCATGGATTTGCAGCTATTGAAGGTCACCTCATTATCGTTCACACGGAACTTCAATTTCCCGCCTTCGATATCTACCAATGCTCTTCCAGTAACTAAGAATGTCCTTCCCAAAATAATGGGGATTTCAGTATCGATCTCACAATCTAGAATCACAAAATTAGTTGGAAAGATAAACCGATCTACTTTTACCATTATGTCATGAAGTATCCCTACATGGTGTTTGATTGATCGATCATCCATAAAGAGTCTGATTGTGGTTGCCTTTGGTTCACCCAAACCAAGTTGCTTGTATATTGCATAGGGCATCAAGTTAATGCTTGCTCCTAAATCGCACAAAGCTTTAGCGAATTGGAGCATGCCAATTGTGCACGCGATTGTGAATGCCCCAGGATCTTCTCTCTTGGTGATTGACTCATTTGTCATAATTACGTTGCAACTATGTACCTCAATCGTTTCATACTCCAAGCTCATTTTCTTTGTAATCAGCTCTTTCATGAATTTGGCGTATCCTGGCATTTCTAACAATTCTTCCACTAGAGGAAGGTTACTTGATAGATTCTTGAATACTAACAAAAAAAAATTGAACTTCTCATCTTTATTTTTCTTTTTCAAACGTTGAGGAAATGGTGGAGGTATTCTGGGTAAAAGGTGCGTGACTTTTGGAATCTGAACATGTTGCTCTGCATCCTCTTGTGGTTCTTTGGCAAGGTTTTGTGGAATATGCAATTCTAGTTCCTCTGTACCCTGGCTCTCTTCCTGTATTCGAAGGTCCTCATCCTCCATCACATTCCCTTTTTCCATCTTTCCACTACGGGTGACCACAACCAGCCCTCTTTCATTATATTTCATCAGTGTCCTGGATGTTAATTGAGCTGATAATAGACTCAATTGACCTTCTAGTGCTCTGATGGCATCAACATGCGAATTCACTTTACTGTTTAGTGATGAAAAGTCATCTTTCATTCTTTTTAGCAGATCATCAGAGCCCTCAACTTTATCAAGCATGCGTGAAAATAGATCATTTACCTGAGGACTATTTGCGCTCCCTTTTGATTTTGGGCTTTCACTCAATTGGGTACGGTCTTCCTCATGGTCATCTTGCTCAGCCCAATCGTGGCAATATCTCCTTGGTTCTTCACTCCTATAATGGTTCCAACCTTGATTTCTGCCCCGCTATTGATGGCGTGGGTGGAAACCCTCCTCATATCTTATGGAGTTCCAACCTTGATTCTCCTCCGATCTCAAGTAACCGGATGAAGAACCCCCCTCAATTCTTTTGGAGTTCCAACCTTGATTCTCCCCCAGTCTTATGTAACCTGAAGGAGAACCCTCCTCAACTCGAAATACTCCATATGTCCCCTTTATGTGCTCATGTATCACTTCCATTTGAGACAACATCTTCTTGATGTTTTCGTCCCTTTCCCTTTCTTTATCGAGTTTTTCTTGCGTTAATCTGAAGCACAGTGGGGAAACTTGGTCATCTTTTGTGTACCATGCTTGATTTACTCTAGTCATGCCATCTAGGAGAAATGAGGCTACTTCAAATGATTGTAACATTATTCCTCCTTGCACCAGCTGATCAACTATCCATTTATTCACCGAATCCAGACTATGGTAAAAATATTGGAGCAATAACTCACTCGGCAGTCTATGCGTTAGACATTTTCGCAAAATTCTCTTAAATCGTGCCCAAGACTCGTGAATTGGTTTGCCCTCCTTTTGATTAAAATTTTGAATGTCATCCCTCAGTTTCATCATTTTTTATGGAGGGAAGAATCTTTCATGAAAAGTCGTAACTAACTCTTCCCACAACTTGATGGAGTTCTTTGGAAGCTCGATCAACCACTTAGTGGCTTCCCCAGTAAATGATAATGGAAATAAGCGCAGCCGTATGCATTCTTGCGATAGAGTTTTGAATGACAGAGGGGTGCACACTTCTATGAAGCTTCGTATATGTTCATACGAATCCTCATGCTCTGACCCTCCATATAAACCTCTTGAATGTATGAGACGGAGTGTTGTGCTAGTTACTTCAAATGTTGCATTTCTGTCTGCTTGTGGGATGCAACTTGCATCTATCTCACTCACTTGGGCAAGGTTGTACACACTATTAATATCATCAATATCGTCTCGATGAAAAGCATCATCTGCTGGGTTGCCTGCTTGGTAACTATTTTCGTCGTTCACACTCATATGGATGTTGAAACACACAATTACACAAAACAAAACTAAAAATTAAATTAGTAAACTACCACTAATAAGAACAGAAACTCTATTAAACTAAAAATTCTCAAATAACACCACTCCTCGGTAGCGGCACCATTTTGATGTTTGCGTAATCAACGACACAATTTCCGATGCAAGTGTCTACGATCATGCAATAGTATAATAACCCAACCAAGGGTTGGGGTCGTATCCCAGGAGAGTGGTTTCGAGATTTAATAGAAAAATAAAATTAGTTCTAACTAGTCGTAGCTAAAGACATTAATGACTAAAAACATTGTAAATTAAAAGGGGGTGACACAAAAGTGTCAAATATAAGTTGGAGGTTTTTGTCACAAGTATAGCTAAAAACAACAAAAATAACAAGAAAATTAGGTATGGGGAAAAGTTCTTGGGGTGTGACCGCAATACAAGTTGAGATAAATAGTTGGATACATGTTTTCGATAGGAAATTTGCCAGATAATAGTGACTAGGCAAAGCTTTAGATGGAAATAAGTTCTCTCTCGAGCAACTTACCCCGTTTCAAATGGGTTCTTCTCGGACACCCATTTGCCGCATGAAGGCCAGCCTACACCTTACCCCACTCACTCTCTCGAGTTGAGTGTTAGGATATGGGACTAGGGCTCAACCTCTCGGGCAGAACCTCATGTTGACCCACACCTTAGGCCATCAGTCTAGCGGTCTTGGTTTCGCGACATCTCTCTCGAACAAGCCGAAAATACATGGGTGGTTTTGTATTTGCAGCTACAAACCCATTAAATTAAACCACAACCACTAGGTGAAATCACCATTAAAATACATCTAACCTATTAGCAAGCAAAACCCAACAATAATATCAACACATATTTGCTAAATCACACCCCAAGAATAGGGGTTTTTAGCCACACATCAAGAAATAAGAAATTATACCTAAAATGATAGAGAAATCAAATGGGTATAAGAAATTAAACCTTAATATAAGCAATGGAAGAAGAATGGAGAAGACTCACTTCCAATTTGGGAAAGATGAACTCCCTCTCTCTTCAAGTCTCCCACAAAACTCTCCCCAAACTTGAGAGAAAATAAAAGTACTAAAATTGTATTAAGAATCTGATATTGTCTAATGATAATTTCTCTATAACTCTCAACGAGTATTTATAATTTTCAAAAATATGTGCTACGATTGATCATTCGGCGATATTAGTCGGAATCGTCGATCAACTAACTGATTCGTCGTTTGGTGTAGTTCTTCGCCGTCTTGCACCATCTTTCGGGATCGTCGTGCTCTGGATCATTAGGCAATATAGTACTGCTTCGCGGAACTGCTCGGCGATGCGCCAACTGCTCCCTTGTTCCGCCGACTTGATCATTTCCTTCAAGCTCAGCACACTGGAACAAAAGGCTAAGTGAGACCCTTCGGCTATTCGCCAAGTGGACTCGGCATTCTTCAGGCCTTTATTTTCTCGTTCTTTTTAGCCTTTTCCTTCCATTTTGCGAAGTAGTGTCCATGATTTCCTTTAATGTTTAAATACCTAAAACTTAAGGGTTTTCATTAGATATTGAGATAAATTAAGCATTTGAGGACACGATTTCTATTAAAATATAGCCCTAAATGAGTCCAATTTGTGGACTCATCACTCTCCAAAAAGATTCAGAGGGACTTACTCAAAAGACTCGAAAGAACTCTCAAGACTTGACTCTTAACTCTACCTTGAATTTTAATTAAGAATTCAAGGTTATGATTTGTGATAGGAAAGTTGTCATGATGATTAAAAGTGTTTTCAGATAGTTAATCATAAGAAACAGTAAAAAAAACACTGTCTGGGAGTAAGTCTGCGATGCGGAGATGCATTTAAATATTTGGTCGCGAAATAATTTTGAAACAGTGGGATCCGCAATCTCTCCGCGACGCGAAAAGAAAAACTCACTATGATGGAACAGGTCCACGTCGTGGACCTGGTACTGGTTTTCTGTCCGACTTTTTCTTCCATGTTTTCTTTCGCCTAAAGTCGATTCTTTTTCTCAATTTCTCTTTCCATTCAGATACCCAATACATGTACACAAGAATCTAATCCAACACAACTCTAAAATCGACACGATTTCCTCAATAACTCTTCAATCTCATCTAAACTCAAGAATGAAAGCCAATTTCAAAAACATCAAACCTTCAAATTTCTTGAACGAATTTAGCACTGAAATTAACATGATTGGCATGTGGGTGAACAAACCCAACACTATGGAAGCTTACATACCTTTTAGGGATCAAACCCATGGCGAAAATCCACAACAAAACTCAAGAACCTCGATGAAAGCCTTGATCATTTTCTCTTTTCTCTTTTTTTCTCTTCTTTTCTCTTCTTAAACTCTCAACTTTTCATGACATAGGGGTACACCCTAGATGTAACATTGTGTACTAGACGCCAAAGGGCTTAACACAAGCCACTTAGCATATCATAACATAAAGTACATAGAAATGATGTGGAAATTTTAAAACTTTCTTTACAATCGACGTTTTTTATAAAAGCAAGCAGAAGTCTAAAACACTTTGTCTCAAACCATCTAATACAACTTTGAGTAACTCTTGGGACACAGCCCATACAAAAGTCTAAAACATAAAAGAAAGACATAAAGGTAATGGTGGCTTTATCCTCGATGCTATGAGGACTCACCAAATCTTCAACTCCTTTGCACTTCTAGAAACCTATCCTCAAGAATGGAACTCAATGTCGCCAAACCCTACATTTGATAAGAATGTAGGCAAGAGTATACGTTAGTACAAAATGTACTAAATATGTTAGCTAGCATAACATCATAAGAGCATAACATAATGGTTAGCGAACATAAGACATAAGCATAAATGGCAATAACATATTCATCAGCATAATCTCCAACATAGACATAATATAAGCATTAGTCATCATAAAGCATGGTCCATATACATAGACAATACTTAGACCTTCATATCATAAGAGAACCATTTCATAAGTAACCTCCAAGTATATTTGTGCAAGGCATGAATGAGATCCCATAATCCAATCCATGCTAAGTATCCCCTTTGGTCCTCATAATCATACTTACCACCTCATGGTCTCACTCTTAACTTAATTCTCATAGACAAGGGAATCTTCACCTTTACTAAACATATCAAGGAAGGAAACTATAACAACAATCCAATCTAAGCATACATCATATAAGATAAACACTTTATAATTAGCTTCAAGTCATACTTGTGCAATGTATGGATAAGACACCATAATCCTATCCACACTAAGTCCCATTTTTAGGCTTTCATACATATTGATCATCTCTTTGATCTCATACTTAGCTCATCATAAAGGACAAGGGTAATCACCTCAAGTCATCCATATCATGAAATCATAAAAACAAGGGGAATCACCTCTAGTCATACATATCATGGAATCATAGGTATTCGCCTCCATATTCATAATGAGATAAAGGTATTCGCCTTCATATCTATTTTAGGGTATAATGTAGGTATTTGCCTCCACATCATCACATAAGGAGCATAGGTTATCACCTCCATGATCAACATAAAGGCCAATGGGTAATCACCGCTTGCCTTGGGTGTCATACATGCATAAAGGGTAATCACCTTACACTCTCCATATCATGACATGGGTAATAACCTCATGTTTAACTAATTAGGAATAAGGGAACTCACCTCACATTCCTATCATATGAAGGTCTTTGGGGGACTCACCACAACCTCATCACATTTCATAGCCCTTGGACTTAGATTCATTTTAGGTGAAAATAGCCTTTCAACCTAGAATCATTCTACGTGAGAGAACCTTTCATATCATATCATATTCATGCATGAGTGTGTATGTTAGAATGTCCTTGCAACAACACAACTACATATCATGATCATAGACACTTCAATATCAAAGTGTTCATAAACATATTCATAGATTCATAGAAACATGCATAATATCATATCTTGCCCTCTTATGGGTCAAGGTTCATATCAAATCAACACATCTAGAATTACTACATTAGACATGGCCTTCTATTCTCATATAGATTTTACTCTCAAAGCATTAGCATCAATAGTTCATCATGTTAGCTTTACTCTCAAATCCCTAGCGATCATCATTCATGACTACAAGCCCTACTTTCAAAGCTTTACTTCCTACAATCATCATAAGTACCTAGATCACAAGATATTATAGTCACAAGCTTCATTCCTAAGCAATTTTAACCATATTTCATCATAAAGGCTCAATCTCAATCATTACTAGTTCAATTCATGTTTACATGCTTCTTTTCTTGAACAATTACTATACATAACATCAATTCTAGAAGATCCTCTATCAACCGTCAATTTCACTTCACAAGGCATAAACCCACATTCTTCAATTTCATCAATTAGACTAGGGTTAACTAAGGAAAACATATAATATCATCATAATATCTTGATTCAATACTAAATCAATCATAAAAAAATACTATCCACTCAATTAGAATCATACTCAACTTGACCCACAATATTGGAAGGAACCCTAACTTGAATAGGGGATTTCATCTTCACAATTGGGGGAATTCTAGGGGACTCCATGGATGGAAGAATACATGGATGAATAAGCTAACATCCCTTGGATATAAATCCCTCACAAATCTTGGAAGATTGGAGGAATTGACCTAGCTTGACCCTTCTTCTTCTTCTTCACTTTCTACAAAGAGGATTTCTTGGAGGGAATTGGGTTTGTTTTGGGTTAATTGAAATACTAATTTGGAATCACTTAATTAAGGTTCTAATAGATTTATATAGGTGGTCTAAAAACTAATAAAACAATTCAAAGACCAAGGATGCCTCACCCACGAGACCAAGCCCATGCACCATGGGCGGGTCCACAAGGCGTGCTGGTCCTCTGTGAGTGGTGGCCTGCAGGTCCTAAGTTGGGGTCTTGACCCATGACCCCTTCCCACGTGGTGTGGTTCCACCTACTGGGTGTGAGTCCCATCCGTA